GTGAGGAAACTGAAGCTCAGAAGTGACTTTCCAGGGTCAGTAGCAGAGTTAGTCCCCCCCAGTGGGATTCTGCAGCCTCTCCTGGCCCTCAGCGCTCACCTGGCAGCACCACGAGCCCCTTCTCTTAGACCCAAGGCCACAGTGCCTCCCCCAGGCCGCCACACTCACCCTTAAGCATCTTGACGGCCACAGTGCTGGCTTGGTCAGGACGACTGGGGTCCATGCCGAAGGCCTCTGCACACACCACCTGCCCGAAGCAGCCCTCGCCCAGGGGCTTCCCGAGCACCAGCCTGAAAATGAGAGACGAGGCCTCAGCCATCCTCCGCCTTCATTCCCGCCCAGAGTCTGAGCCCCACCCTCACTCTGCATCGCATACCTGTCCCGGGGGAACTCCCACAGCGGGTCGAGGGGTAGGTCTAGACTCACGAGGCCAGCGAGCAAGGGGGGGCCGCTGGAGGAGAGACGGACACCCCGCACCAGGGACAGGCTTGATTTGGCCGAGGAGCCTGACTCCAGGGAGAACTGCAGAGTGACAGATTTGAGGCTGCTGAGGCCAAGCTGGGGCGGGAATGCAGGCCCAGAGCCTCGCTATGGGGACACGGAGGTGGGGGACACTCGGTTGGTACCTGTCGGGCCAGAGGGAAGCGGGACAATTTCTGCACAGTGGCAGGCTGCCGGGGGTGCCGGCTGTGGAGCACCTGCCTGTGATACAGGCCGACCAGCAGCAGGAGCACAAGCAAAGCCAGAGAGCCCGACGTGTACAGGATGACGTCCGTGTACCTGGCCTCGGGCGCGGCTGCTGTCCACGTGAGGTCCTCCTCTGCCCACAGACGGGCACACAGATGACAGACCAGTCAGTGGTCAGATGGTCCCCCCCCCAACTGAGGCCCTCAGAGCTCCCGACACACACAGGGACACATACCAAGAAAGCTGCAGTTAGACCCACCCCAGTCCCGCATACACACACCCCGGGGGAGGCACAGACAGTCACATGTGGACGTGCATAGAGGGGCTGCTACACGCAGAATCAAACACACAAATCCACATGCCACATCCCAAACCCAGACTCCACGGGCAAGGAAGACTGTCTTCTACCCAGCAGAGCACAGTCCACTGCTGGACCACAGCAGAATCCTGCAGCCTCCCCTGACCCCTCAGGAGCTCACCTGGTAGCACCGTGAGCCAAGCCGACTGGTAAGAGAGGCCGATGGAGTTGCCGGCCAGGCAGGTGTACTCGCCAGCGTCCTCAGCTGACACGTTCCGAAGGTACAGGACCTCCACCTCTGAGCTATTAATGTCTGCTGTCTGGGGATGGGGGACACACTCAGGGGTCACAGCTTGGCCTGGGGCCACACTGTGGCCGGGAAGGGAGCTGGGGGCCACCCCATAACCCCACAGGAGAATGGTAGGGCTCAGGCGCTGGCGGGGACGGGACCTTGAGGACTTGCACATAGGGGAAGCCGTCGGCACCGAAGCTGCTGCCGTTGATGACGATGTGTTTCAGCCACTGGATGTGGGGCTGGGCGTCGCTGTACACCTTGCATAGCAGCTCCACATCACTGCCCACTACAGCTGTGGTGTTGGCCGGGAGCCCCGCCTGCAGGATGGGCCGGTGCGGGGACCGCTCTGGGGGCCGAACCGGGCCGTCAACCCTGACCAGTGGCACCCGCAGAAGCACCCTGGTCACCTTCCTCCAGCCTCCCCGCAGCTCAAGGGAGGAACCTTCCTGATACTCAGCTCAGACCTTGTTCATCCCCTGCTTACCCCATTCAAACCTTCCATGGCTCCCCACTGCCTTTGGGGACAACTTCTCAGCCTAGCATTCAAACACCCTCTGGGCCTGGCTCCCTGCTTAAACGCCACACCCCAGGCATATACCTCCACCACAAATGCATTGTATTCTCTACACATAGAGCCTTCACTCAGCCTGTGCCTCTGCCTGGATGTCTTTCCCACTTTTCCTCTCAGCTGCCCCTGCTCCTCCAGGCCCACATTACTCCTGTGCTTCCCTCAGACCCACCTGGATACTCTGAGTAGCTTGACTGAGTCATCTAAGTCCATCTTGCCTGCCAGACTGGGTCCCAGCTGAAGGAAGAATCAAGGTTCCCACCCCCACACTGCCTCACCCGCCCATGCGCTCACCCAGCACGTCCAGCAGGTAACTGTAGCGGATGCTGCCCAAAGAGTTCTCCACGAGGCAGGTGTATGTGCCGCGGTCTGAGGGCACCACGCTTTCCATCACCAGGCTCCAGTGCTGGTGGCGGAGCTGGAGGCAGGGGACGTGTCCACAAGGGGCCACCGAAGCATACCCATCCAGGGGACCAGGGCATGAGGAGGCTAAATCCCGCCCACAGGGAGGCAGGGACCTTGGGACAATGGAGAAAGCTCCAAGAAGTATCTGAGCCTCGGGTTTGAGTCTCAGTTTTAGCTCTACTTCTATCCTTGCTGTGAAACCTTGAACTAGTCTTTGCCTTGAGTCTCAGCTTCCTCTGAGCCTACAGCCTGGAGCTGACCCTGCAGAGTCTCAACATGAGAATGAGCTGCTAAAACAAATATTGATATCTGCCGGTCAGTGATCCTTCCCACTTAATAAATGGAGTTGCTCAGGTTGAGAGGCTAAGCCACTTGCCAGAGAGTGACAGAGTGGGCACTTGAACCAGAGCTGCTCAAGTCCAAGGTCTCGTGCTCCTTCAGGGCCCCGCAGCTGTCTTCCTCATTAGAGAAAGAACTGTGTGATTTGAGGGGATCGATGCGGGATGAAAATGGAGGAACACATGGTCTTGGAACTCAGACACTCACCCGAATGCCTCCAATGCGATGCTCCCCATGGAAGTCCTGTCCGTCCTTGAGCCAGCGGATGGTGGGTGTGGGGTTGCCTGCAGCTGGGCAGCGGAACTTGACGGTGTTCCCAGCAGGCACTGCGTGCAGTTTCTTCTCCATGCGCTGGGGGTGTGTCCAGTAAGGTGCTGGAGGGGAGGAGAAGGGATAACTCAGTGTCCCCAGGAGGGTCACCTGTTTCCACAAGAGTGTTTTCTCCGTGACCAGCTGGGAAATAGGGAAGTGAGTCCTTGAGGTCTCACACTGACCTTGCTGGGGGTAAATGTGCCCATTTGAGGGGTCCCTGTGGGTCTTGGGATCCTCATCACCATTGCTGGAGGTCATGGAGTCTATGTTAGGGACAGAGGGAGGTGTTTAAGGCCTGAGACAGAGAGTTTCTTTCCCCAGGCACCCCTTAGCTCCTGCCAGACCCCCTTACCATCCACAACCAAGGTGACATTGTGTAGGACAAACATGGAGCTTCGTGCCAGGCAGAGGTATTGGCCAGCATCCTCGGGTAGGAAGCTGGCGATCTCCAAGCGGCCTCTCCAGCCTCGCACTCGGCCAGCAGGTGCCAGGCGACTGCCCTCCTTGTACCAGTGGCCACTACGCTCGGCCCGCCCACAGCATAACCGCACAGGCTGCCCAAGGGCCACGGTCAGCTCCTGCTCTTGCTGCTCCGGGCTGGGGGCCAGGCAGGGCTCTGTGGGCCGAGGGCAGAGGTCAGTGAGCCCGGCAGCCCTGGCTAAGTCGGCCCCTTGCACACAGAGAACACGCTGCACACACAGGGCATGAGCACCCCTTGACGCATGCTGGACACCCATACAACCACATGCTACAGACGCTACCGTGCAGGGCAAATGCCTCGCCTCTGGTGCATATCATACACATGGTGCCTAGCACACATGCTGGACAGGACATGCCACTGCCCAAGACACACACACACACACGGCACATGCTATAGGTGCCACGTATAGGGCACAGGCCACACCACTGGGGTGCATCACACTCATAGTGCATACACCACACGTGCTGCCTGGGCATCCCAAGCCATACACACATACACACGCACACACACACAGTCAGGGGGCTCACCACCAGCTCTGCAGCCCAGGTCAGGGCCCTGCACCCTGCAAGGCCAGTCCTCTCTTGTGGACACAGAGATAAGCAGACGCTTGCTGGGAGCCAGACACTGAGTCTCAAGGGTCGGGTCCTGCCCTGCTGCCACCTCCTCAGGGCTGGGGCCAGGATCCTCTCCAGCTTTGCTCCGCCAGCAGCCCCCTCCTGATGCCCACTCTTCCCACCCCTGCCACCCTCTCCCTTCTCCGAGGCCATACCCGGCTCCATTTCCTCAGAGGCCTCAAAGGACAAAGCTGGAGCCCCGGGTGCCCCCAGGAGGACCCCCAACAGGGCCAACAGCAGCCGCATCTCCTTCCTGCTACTCACAGGGAGCCAGGCTGGGCTTCCCACCGACTGCCTTCCTGAAACAGAGAGAGCAAAGAACTCCTGCTAGTTGTGCACCTTGGCCGGCGAGATCCCCTCATCTTGCAGATGAGGAAACTGAGACAGGAAATGGTCGGCAGACTTGTCCAAGCCCCTGCCAGGCTGCGGCAGGGCAGAGACTAGAACCAGCTCTGCTGTAGTCAGAGCCCAAGGCCTCCCAAAGGTAGGTTGTGTGGGGGGTGGGCTGGGCTTCCTGCTCTCCTTGGGTCCTGCTGAGACCCTGGCACAAGTTCACAGAAAGGGCAGTTTTCAGATTCTTTCCTTGGAGGGAAGCAGAGAACGGAGACATATCTTCTGCTGGCTCTCAGCACACATAATTTATTTTTTGCTGAATAAATGAATTTATTACTGAAGAGCCAGTAAAAAAAAAATCTGAAATATAATACAAGACCAAACTCCAGCATCTGGATGTTATCTGATCTGCCCCCACTCCTGATGGCATTGCTGACATTTCCATGACCAGCTTTGGCTACCTCCAGGGGCAGGGCGCTCACTGCTAACACGGTAGCACATTCTATGGCAAGCAAAAGTTCTTCCTCATTCTGAACCAGAATTGCATTCTGGGGATACCTCTGTGTTTTGTGCTCCCACGGCTCCATCTGAGGCATGCAAGCTCTTGTAAAGAATGTAGACTCCAGTGTCTGACAGAGCCAACTTCAAATCCTGACGCTTACCAACTTGTGAGTCCCTGTCCCTCTCTGGGCCCACTGTCCTCACAGAACTGCTTTGAGGATAAAAGAGAATGTATGGGAGCTGGGGGGAGGGTATGGCTCAGTGGCAGAGTCCGTGCTTAACATGCAGGAGGTCCTGGGTTCAATTCCCAGTACTAGCATTTACAAAAATTAAAATAAATACATAAACTTAATTACCTCCCCCTATCCCAAACAAACAAAAAAGTGAATTTACGAAGGGACTGGGCACACAGAATGTTGGAACGTTCTCCTCTCCCTCCCCTTCCCCATGACTGTCACCCTCGCTCTGCCCTCAGCCAGTCACCTCCGTTTCTGGTGCTGGTCCTGTCAGGTGTGATGTACGCATGCTCCCCATCTAGTTACCATCCTCCCAATGCCACCAGTCTCTATCCCCCAAAAGGAACATTCAAAACTGAGCCTCAGCTCGGGTAGGGGAAGGTGATCTCTGGAGTCCCAGGAGAACTAACTGGCTCTCACCTGGAGCTGGGTGACAGTCAGGTGGCACTGGTGTCTCTGGACCTACCTTGCCTGGGAATCCCTCTGCACCCTGTCCAGCTCTGGTTCCAAGGCAGGGGGCACTTAGCTTGTTCTGGCCAAAGCCATTATCTCTCCCTTCAAACTGCTCCTTCCCCGAGTTGCCCCCACAGCTGGGGCATCACCTGTCCAGCTCCTATCCTCATCTCTCTCCCACTTTCAATCCATTCTTTAGTCCATTGCTTTAGTCCCTTTCCAGTAAGTCCTGCCTTCGCTGCCTGGTCATCTCTAGGTTGGACTTCTGCAAACATCTCCCTGGGCTCTCCAGCTGGGTATTAGAAATTACACATCTGCCATGTCGTACCCCACTCCAGCCCCTGCCCCAGCTTACAAGCCCTTAATGGCTGCCTGTGTGCAGCAGGATCCAGTCCACACTGCTCAGCCAGCATCCTAGGCCTCCATCCCTGCCCTTGTCAATCTCTTTGCCCTGACAGTCTGCTTCTTCAGCGCTGTGAAGCCTCTGGCTTTCAAGGCCAGGCATGTCTTTTCTCTTGGCTGCACCTCTGTACCTCCACTTCTCTTCTCCACCCGGCTTGGATGCCACTGTCTCTGTGCCCACTCCCGGTTTGGCCCCTCCTCTGTGAAATCCCCTCACCCTGCTCTGCTCTGCATGGAGGGTAGCTCTCTGGGTTGGGAGGGGAGTGGGGAGGCCCAGGGATTTTATTTCCATCCCCTGGCAACCCTGATCTCAGAACCTCAGAACCTTAGTCGGGTCATACGCGGCCGCTGACGGACCGACCGCCCTGCACGTGGGGCCAAAGGGCTTGACTCTGGCATCGGGTAGCCCAGCGTTCTCCAGCCTTCCTCAGTGAAGCGCTGGGGGACCCTGGGCAAATGACTACACCCCTCGGAGCCTCATCTTCCTCGGGGCGCGTAGACGGTCCAGCAGCCGAGGGACCAGCGCCCGCCTTCTCCTCCTCCCCTACCCTGCCACCCTGGGGGGAAGTGCCAGTCGGCGGGTCCCGAAGGGGAGCTGCAGAGACAGCCGGCCCGCCCCCGCCTCGGTGGGCAATGAGTAACCAGCTCCGCGGCCAGGGTGCTCTTTGGACGGAGCGGGACAAAAGGCCCTGTGTGCGCTGCGGGTTACTGATTTACCGTCCCCTTCGCCCCCCTCCCTGCCCGCCGAGCGGACGCCCAGGTC